TTTCCCTGCTGGTTGGAGCTGTCCCAAGATTGTCCACCCCTGTGCTGTGAACTCTGACACAATGTCCTGCTGCAAAACGTCATTGCAAATTATACAACAAGAAGGGACATTTTGCACGAGTGTGCCGTTCAGCCCCCAGGAGTGATATGTGTGAGGTGCAAGTGCATGACGTCACAGTGCTGTATTTAGAGAACTCGGCCGATGCACCAAAGAAACTACATTGCAAAGTGACCACAGTACATTTCGTTGTGGACACAGGTTCTTCTGTGTCCATATTGCCCCTCCATATTTATAAACACTACTTCAGTGCCACACAATTATCTACACCTGCCATCCGACTTGTGACTTATACTCAGGAATGCATACCTGTACTTGGATGTCTGCAAGCACAAGCAGGTGTCTACAATGCATCAGCTGCTGCCACATTTTTTGTTGAGGATAAAGGGACTGCTCTGATGGGCATGGATTTGATTTCTGCCCTGAAACTTCAAATCAATGGTGATAATGTCTGCACTTCCATCATGGCCACCAATACCACACCCGTGGATGATACCGAAATAGGATGTGCAAAGAACTTTGTCCACAAAGTAAAAATTGACCCCTCATTGAAACCTGTGCATCAGAAATTGCGACGCTTACCCTTTGCAGTCCGAGCTTCTGTTTCAGCTGAATTAGACCATCTGCAGAAAGTTGGTGTGATCGAACGTATGGATGCTTCGGCTTGGGTGTCTCCCATCGTTGTTACAGGGAAGAAAACTGGTGGGATACGGATGTGTGCTGATCTAAGGGAACTTAAAGCCTTCATTACTGACTGTTTTTGATTAAATGCTTACCAGCGTTAGGGATTCTACAGTCTTTTCTACAATCGATCTAGCTAATGCATACTATCAGCTTCCCCTGCATGAAGATAGTAGAGATATTACAGCTTTCATCATCTATGATGGTCTGTTCAGATTTTGTAGGGTTCTTTATGGCCTGGCGTCGGCACCCTTCGCTTTCCAAAAGATGATGGCCACCATCCTGGAGGGGGTACCAGGTGTCAAAAACTACCTGGATGATCTTATTGTGTACGAAGCAATGGTGGAGGAGCATGACGTGACCCTCCGCACTGTGTTGCAGAAACGGAAAGAGGCAGGACTGGTGTTAAATGAGAAAAAATGCAATTTTGGACAGACTTCACTGCAGTTTCTGAGACACATAATCAACGCATCTAACCTGACCAGGAGCATCTAGATGCTGTCCGTAAAGCTCTGCCTCATCAGATGCAGCATAACTGCAATCCTTCCTAGGATTGGTGTCGTGGTACTCAAAATTTCTTCCTGGATCTGCGACAGTTGTTGTCCCAATGCGTGAGTGCGCTAAGGAAAAAGGACTGTTTGTTTGGACTCCTGCTTCTCAAAACAGCTTTGAAGACATTAAACTGATGATAGTGTACAGTCCTGTCCTTGCCATTTATTACCCCACACTTCACTCAGTAATTTCAAAAGATGCAAGTGACTACGGTTTGGGTGCAGTGTTCACCCAAATACAATCGTATGGAACAGAAAAACCAGTGGCTTTCACTTCCTGCACACTTACTGCTGCTGAAAAAAAATATTCTATAGTAGAGAAGGAGGCCCTGGCATGTGTGTGGGCTACTGAGAAATGGCAAACATACTTGTAGGGCCATCACTTTACACTCCGCACAGACCACCAGGCACTCACTACCTTACTAACCACAAAAAGAATGGGAAGAGCCAGAATGCGGATTGCTCGTTGGGCAGCACGTTTGCTTTGTTTTGATTACAACGTAGTCTATCTGCCTGTTTCCCTGAATCACACAGCAGACTGCTTGTCTCATCTTCCTATACCTGCACCTGCTGATTCCTCTGCTGACGTTGAGCCTGAAATTGTTGCATTCATTTCCTCAACATTGTGCTCTCTTTCAGTGACTGACTTTGAAACTGCCTGTGCTGCTTGTCCTGAACTGGAGAAACTGCGAAAGCAAATCACACAAGGCTGGCAACCCTCCATCAAAGCAGTGAGTCAGGACTTCATTTCATATTTCAGAGTGAGAGATGAACTCTCAGTAAAAGATGCTTTCATTTTCAGAGGAATGAGGCTGTTAGTCCCTGTAGCCCTTCGACACACTGTGATTTCCTTGGCACATGAGGCTCACCAGGGAGTAGTGCGTATAAAACAGAGTTTACGGGAACTTTACTGGTGGCCGCAGATGGACTCTCAGGTCCAGTCAACAGTCTCTACATGCATTCCCTGCCAGTCTAATGACAAAACTCAGGTGACACATCCAGCACCCCTGCAGCCAGTTCAGTTTCCTGAGGGCCCATGGAAAAAACTTGGTCTGGATGTTGTCGGACCATTTGAAACAGCCACCCCTGCTTGCAGATATGCCATTACACTCACAGACTATCATTCCAAGTGGCCAGAATTTGCATTTGCCAACAGTGCAACTGCTGAGGATGTTAACAAATTTCTGAGCACTGTCTTTAGTCGTCATGGCAACCCAGAGTGTATTGTTACGGACAATGGTACCCAGTTCACTTCTGTTGTCTTCGCTGAGTTTTTGAAACAACGAGACATAAAACCCATCCGTACATCAACGTACTATCTGTTGAAAGATTTCACCGCGCACTGAAAGGGTGCATCCAGACAGCAATTCAGCATGCACAACCATGGAACAGAGCTGTCACAGAGTGGCTGCAGGTGTACCGGGCAACACCGCATGCCACTACGGGCATGTCACCAAATGAACTATTGTATGGGAGGAAGATGCGTACCAAGCTTAACATCCTACCTTGACATGGTGAGGGCAAATGTGATTTTGCTGCTGTCCGTGCGAATGTGAAAAAGAAACAGGATAAAATGAAACAATACACAGATCACAAATGCAGTGCTCGCACTCCTGTCTTTGGTGAGGGAGGGAGAGTGAGCATTAGGCTTCCTCGCGCAACTCCAAAAGTTCATCCGAGATTCTCGGCTCCTGTAAGAGTAGAGAAGAGAGTGGGACCCAACACATTCTTACTCAGTGATGGAAAAAAGTGGAATGCCGCTCACCTGGCATACTCACCTGGATCGATTGACTGTGCTAGTAACACGTTACAGCAAACACTTAACACTACACACAATCCTGTGAAAGTCTCACGTATGAGGCGTAAGCCAATTTGGCATGGTTAAGAATAGTGTTTTACTTGTGTCTCAAGTAATTACTTGTGCTGCCACTAGAGACGCTGAGTAGGGGGAAGAAGAAGAAGAAGAAGGGTATGTTTAGGGTGAACATGTGAAGTTGCTGTTCAGAATAAATCCAAAGCCTTGGAATACAGATACGGTGTTGTGCTTCCTTTTAGAGATCTAACAGCCTGCAATGTACATCATCAGCTGTTTTATCTTCAGGATCTGCTTGTTTGTATGCACATGGAAGATAAACACTGAATACACTCATTACATTGCATTCATGGTAAACTCTGTTCTTGATTTATTCTATTCAGTGCGATGAGATAATAATAATAATGGTAATAATAATAATAAATACTGCTGAAATAACAAATGTCAGCTTCTGTCCTGGGCTTCTAGGTGGGCAGAGTAGAGGCAGATATTATCAATTAAGTTTGCCGCCTCTGCTGAACACCTTGCGACTTTTGGCAAGACATATGTAAAGCAAGACAGGTCTGGGAGTTTCTGCACAGCATGGGATCTGTCCAGACGCTGCTCAGCAGTGCTGCTGGAGGATGTGTTCTCTCCTCTCTGAAGAGGGTGTGAAGAAAATAGGATTGCAAGGGCTCTTTCTGTCACTTGTTTCAGAGAATGCACTAAGTACTTATACATGCCTCTAACATTAGCTCTCTATTTTATTTCTATTCTACTTGTTTTCTTTTATTTATAATACTTAAAAAACTTGACCCTCTAACACTAGCTCTCTCTATTCTATTTCTATTCTATCTACTTTACATTATTTTTATTTATTATTAAAAAAATTATACTTGCTACGTGTGCTGCGTATTGTAATGTTGCTCTTTTGTTGGTTTGATTGCTTCTATTGTCCTCATTTGTACGTTGCTTTCGATAAAAGCGTCTGCTAAATGATTACATGTAAACGTATTCTCCCCTTAGGTTCTTAAGCTCTAAGAAGTAGAATTATGCTCCCCTGTGAATGGGTTGCTTAGTAGGCCGCTCTAGTATGACTTAGCACTGAAGTAAAAAATACAAGAAAATAAAAAACTCCCCAACAAAATTAAGGGAGTTTGTGGGGTGAAAAGAGGCTGTAGCAAGCGCTTACATCAGGCTCTAAGGCTTGACTGATGACGTGACTGACACATTTCACTTAAACGCCTTCTGACAGATCCAGCACAGGGCTTGTGGACAGAGCTGCTGAATTCTGTGTGCTGGTCATAATATATTATACATTTTGTATATTATTATTATTATTAATTTTATGTAATTTTTCCAAATGTTGTCCCTGGCTATATATTTTCTACACTTTTTTTTACAACAAGCTGAGTCTTTTATCTCCTATATCTTCTTACATAATAAGATAATTAACAATTAAATCAATGTATAACTGCACAGCCTTCATTTGTGACACCACAATAAGCAAATCTATAAAGATTAAAGAACATGAATGATGAACTGTGATTAATGAAATTAAAAATTTTGTAAATGCAAAAGTCATTCATACAGACAATAAAACAAACATATAAACATCATTAGAAATCAGTTTTCTGTCAGTTTTGACCCCCTTCACATTCATTCCTTCATCTTCATCTTCATCTTCATCTTCATCTTCCACACTGAGCTCTACATCATCAGCTCTCACACAGAAACACACAAACCTCCTCAGCTGCTTTAGTATGTGTCTCACACACATCTCCTGCTCACTGCCAGAAATGTGATTCTCTGAGATTTTACCCATTTTGTTGCTTTGGTAAAAAAGCACATGCTAAAATCGTAAATGTGATCATGTTTTTTTTTTTTTAAGTGCAGTGATTGTTTTGAGTGTTACTCACCGAACTGATCTGGATTCTTTAACCACAGGTAACAGATTCTGAAGAACTTCATCTGCTGTATGTTGTGCTCCAATAAACTGTTTCAGATCAAACACATCCATCTTCTGCTCTGATGTCAGCAACACATAAACCAGAGCAGACCACTGTGAAGAGGAGAGTTTGGTTTCTCTTATTTCTCCAGATCTCAGATAATCTTGGATCTCCTGCATCAGTGAATCATCACCCAGTTCATTCAGACAGTGGAACAGATTGATGGATTTCTCTGGAGAGCGATTCTCTCTGATCTTCTGTTTGATGTACTGAACTGTTTCCTCTTTGTTGTAGGAGCAGCTTCCTGTCTGTGTCAGTAGTTCTCGTATGAGAGTCTGATTGGACCCCAATGAAAGCCCCGTGATTGATGACAGTTTTACTTACTGAGCTGATCTGGATTCTTTAATCACAGGCAGCAGTTTCTGAAGAACTTCATCTGCTGTATTTTGTGCTCCCATAAAATTTTTTAGATCAAACTTTTCCATCTTCTGCTCTGATGTCAGCAACACAAAAACCAGAGCTGACCACTGTGAAGAAGAGAGTTTGATTTGATTTATTTTTCCAGATCTCAGATAATCCTGGATCTCCTGCATTAGTGAATTATCGCCCAGTTCATTCAGACAGTGGAACAGATTGATGGATCTCTCTGGAGAGCGATTCCTCCTGATCTTCTGCTTGATGTACTCAACTGTTTCCTCTTTGTTGTAGGAGCAGCTTCTTGTCTGTGTCAGTAGTTCTCGTAAGAGAGTCTGATTGGACTCCAATGATAGACCCAGAAGAAAACGCAGGAAAAGATCCAGGTGTCCATTCTTACTCTTTAAGGCCTTTTTTAAAGCTCTCTGATGCAGCTCAGATAATGAATTATATTTCTTCTGGTTAAAAATCTTAGGCAACAGTCTTTGTTTGGTTTGGTCAAACACATTTCCGTTCTTGATTGTAAAGGAGAGGTGCACATATAGAGCAGCTAGATGTTCCTGAAGACTCAGATGAACAAAGCAGAAGACTTTCCCCTGATACAAGCCCAACTCCTCTCTGAAGATCTGAGTGCACAATCCTGAGTACACTGATGCTTCTGTCACATCAATGCCACACTCGCTCAGGTCTTCGTCATAGAAGATCAAGTTGCCTTTCACAAGCTGCTGAAAAGCCAGTTTCCCCAGTTTGAGGATCATGTCTTCATCTTTCACTTTCTTCTCATAGTCCTTCTCATGTTTAATGTTTGTCTGAAGGATCAGGAAGTATGTGTACATTTGAGTAACAGTCTTAGGGATCTCTCCTTTCCATGATTTCACCAACATTCCCTCTAGAACAGTGGCTGAAATCCAGCAGAACACTGGGATGTGGCACATGATGTGGAGGCTCCTTGATGACTTCAGGTGTGAGATGATCGTATTGGCCAGACTCTGATCACTGATTCTCTTCTTGAAGTATTCCTCCTTCTGTGGCTCATTGAAGCCTTCAGCAGTGTTGGGTTTCCCTGCATCGCTGTTCCCTCATACAGACACCTAAACTTCTTCATCAGATTTGATCTAAATGTTTTGAGGGCTTCATTGCTGTCAAATAAAAAATTCCACATTATTGCTTGAGTTAATAAGTCCAATGTCTCATAAATTCTGTATCATATCTTTAAATCATATCTTTTACAGAAATGTTACACCTGAGAGCAGGCTGTGTATCGCCACTCTTGAATTGTTCTTGACAAACCATAGATGCATCACTCTTCATAGACACACAGCTGGACTCTGCTTCTTTTCTATTCTGATGAACCGAGCTAAACAGAGAGAGATTACATTTCAACCTTTAAATTACTGTATGCAAATTATTGTACGTAAAGAGCACTTAGTAATCAGTTCATACACGGTTTATACAAAAATAGTGAACTGAACTGTGATAATATTTGATAATGTAAAATGTCATGCTATAATCATATTTTTATACAAACGTTATACCTAAGATCAGGCTGTGTATCTCCACTGTTAAACATTATTGGTTCAAGCATAGACCCGTCACTCTTCATAGACACACAGCTGGGCTCTGCTTCTGATCTCTTCTGATGAACTAGACTAAACAGAGAGAGATTAAATTTCATCCTTTAAATAACTGTATGCAAATGATTGTATGTAAGGATCACTTTGTAATTAGTTCATTCACTGTTTATACAAAAATATGAACTGAACTGTGATAATATTTGTGTTACAGGACCGACGAGAGGTGTGTGGATCCATATGCAGGGCTTTTATTTAAATGCGTGGTCATGAAACAGACGAGGGTCAGACAACAACACAGGTACAACACAGGCAAGACAAAGAGTATCCTAGGGCAAGCGTGGGTCTTCGATCGGCGAACGTTATCCAGAGGGCTTGACCAGAGGGGAAATCCAGAAACACGAGCAATAGTCCAGGCAAGGTGCAAACAGAGTCCGAACAGGGCGAGACAAGAGGGTAATCCGAAAGACACAGGCAAGAATCAGAACACAGAAAAAAACAGGCAAGGCAGGACTATGACTAGATATCAAACTAGAACAGGCTCCGTCGAGTAGCTAGGAGAGGGATATGCGCTTACAATACTCAGCCTTGAATGGTGGTGTGAGACTGATTTATATAGTGTGTGTTATTGGTAGCAGCTGTGTGTGTAATCAGTGCAATGGATGATGGGAAATGTAGTCCGGGATGACATGCAACAGTTTGTGTAGTGTGAGAGTCAATGTAACAGAAGGGTGACCTCTGGTGGCAATCGGACGGAAGTCCATGGACAGGATTCCTGACAATATGATAATGTAAAATGTCATGCTATAATCATATTTGACTCCTGACTCTCTGTGGTCATTAAAAATCCCAGGATGTCTTTCGAAAAGAGTAGAGGTGTAACCTCGGCATCCTGGCCAAATTTGCCCATTGGCCTCTGATCATCATGGCCTCCTAACAAAATGTGCCCATTGGCCTCTGACCACCATGGGCTCCTAACAATCCCCATATAATGATTGGCTTCATCACTTTGTCTCCTCTCCACCAATAAGCTGGTGTGTGGTGGGCATTCTGCCGCACTATGGTTGCCGTCGCATCATCCAGGTGGATGCTGCACATTGGTGATGGATGAGGAGACTCCCCCCACAATGTAAAGCGCTTTGAATGCCTAGAAAAGCGCTATATAAAATGTAATTAATTATATATATATATATATACAGTGGGTACGGAAAGTATTCAGACCCCCCGCTATATTAATGTAATGAATTATTATTATTATTATTATATTTTATACAAACGTTATACCTGAGATCAGGCCGTGTATCTTCACTGTTAAACATTATTGGCTCAAGCATAGACCAGTCACTCTTCATAGACACACAGCTGGGCTCTGCTTCTGTTCTCTTCTGATGAACTGAGCTAAAACAGAACAGATTTAACCCTTTATTATAAGAATCATCTTAATATAATAAAATACTCATTTTAATATACTTTTCTATGAAGAACACTTTTGGAGCCTTTATGGTCTTTTTGTTTTCAATGAATATTAAACTTATAAAAACCATACACAAAATAAACTTGATTTATAACATAAAAGGTTATTTAATGTGTTACTCAAAGTACCTGTGTCCTGGAAAAGAACAGTCATCTCCAGGTGTTTGTGGTTCATCCATGATGGATCTGAACAGTTTGATCTCCACCGCTGACAAACAAGTGAAGTGACAAACAATCACAAAAACTACAGTAATCAAACAGCCTTATATTGCTGTAAATCATTTCATTAAACATTTAAACATGTTCTGTATTGTAAATAATTGATTCTGTCTGTTAAAAATGGCTAAACATCACCTCTGATCATTTACATCCACTTTTATACCATTATCATCACAAGAACACTAAATGACACATGGTCTCATATTTTCTTGTACCGTTAAAGTGTCAGTTGGAAATATGCATATGTAAATTGTATTCAAAGGAGGTTATGCATAATAAACTAGGTAATAACCAGGGGAGTGTCTACCTGGTGGCCAGGGGTGGCACCGGCCCCCCTGAAATTTGGCTGGCCACCCCAGGTGCCCCCCCTACCAGATGTCTTGCCATAGGCTTGTTTTTAGTAAATTTCTAATTTTAGGCGGTTTCTATAGTGTGATCTTAATGACAATGTCGAGAGTGCATAATGTTACGCGATCCACTCCCAAGCGGATTTCCTTCACAAAACTGGACGTGTGCTTTTAACATACATCGAACGATGAAACACCCAAATACCACCCCCCCCTGGGCCCTCTTTTGAGCCAGTGCCCACTGGCCACCCCATTAATAATAAATCTGGTTATTTCACAATTTATTTGGATTAATTTGGATTTATTTGTGCCTATGCAAAATCTGCCTTCTCTGCACAGGCACACTTTAAGGATGAAATCTATGCAAAGTTTTATACATACAGAGGCCCCTGCTGCATGCTTGTATACAGCTTTATAGTGTCATCAACTACAGAAAATCCAGTGTCAAGCTGTGTTTTTCTGTGTTTGAGATCGTTTCTAGGAGTCTGTGTTCAGTTCGTATAGCTGGAGTCTGAACCGAAAGGAGTCATTTTCTTTCTTGTGTGTCAGTGTGAAGTGTTTGATAATTATGACCTGCAGCTGAACACTAGTGTACTTCACTCACATGTAGCTCTACTGCAGTTTAAGAGCATTTAACTGGTTTTCATTGTGAAGTACAGCAGCTCAACACAGTGAAACATGGAAAGAATGAGCAGAAATGATTCATGAATATGTTCTTACTGCTTCTGATATTTCTATTTACTTGAATAAAAATGATTTGCTGTAATAGTCAATAACTGGTGACTTTGAAACCACTGCAGAAAGATGTTAATCTTCAGAACCAGTTAAACCACAACCATTTCAGGAAAACAAATGAAACCGGTTTGACTCAGTGCTGAAGCTCTGTTTACAGCTGGAGGGGGTTCCAGAAAACAGCTTTATGTCTCTGAATCATGTTTCAGGGTTACTTTACTTCAGATAAACGTCTCTAAACTTCAGATGATTTCAGCACAAGCATGAAAGCACAGGTTATGTGTGAATTCATTATAAATCATTATTATAGTATAAAGCTATTCAGCCCTACTTTTCCAAGATCTAAATTCAAAAGTGATCAAACATTTATGAACACTTTTCAGGAGTTTTCTATATTTGGGAGTTACTTGTATTTCTGTAACTCTGCTGTTTAACACTTACTGTAGAGTGAACTAAAGTAAAAGTGTTAATGAAGTAGAAATGCTGCTGATTTCATTGAATGAGTCTGTTATAGAGAAATATTTATCATAATATTTCATCAAAGCTGTCTGCTGATACTGAGTGATAGTTTCTCTCTCAAAGAGTTAAGAGTGCATGACAAAAACTGTTTGAGAATCACATACACACTGATGGTAAAATGAGAAACAGTGATTTCACACCATGTGACAACAGTATCAGAATCTGCAGCTTTCTGTGAATCACTGACAAAGACACACTTGATCTGTTTGAATACGACATGAAGAGCTTTAAATAAAACCATCAAAACAACTTCAGCACAGCATTAAAGAAGCACAAAGTGACCATTGACACATCATAAGATGACACTCATACATGAAAACAACTAGATAATAATCAAACACTCACCTCAGTGTTTGTACATCTGTCTTTGTCTTCCTCTGAAGTGTTGTGTTGAACAGCAGCTCTGAAATTTCTTTCACTTCTACCAGGAAGAGTTAGACATGAGAATGAGTGTCATCTGCTGTTATTCAGTCAGTTCAAATGAAAGGTTCATTCTCAGGAAACGCTGCTGAACTCAGAAGTTGCTTTACAGGTTTGTGAACATGCTTTGAATGTTGAAAGTGTGTCAAGTGTTAGTCCAAGATATGTATAGTGTTGTGTTGTCTTTCATTGGACAGTGATCCAGTAGCCCCTCACTGCAGAACACAAGATCCAGGGGGCGTGGTTGGATCCACCTCTAAGGGGTAGAGATGGGTAGGTTTAGGGGTGGAGCTCTGGGAGATTGGTAGGTTTAGGGGTGGAGCTCTGGGAGATTGGTAGGTTTAGGGGGGGAGCTCTGGGGGATGGGTAGGTTTAGGGGGG